GTTGCTATCTTAAAATCCCACCCAGAAGTGTCTACCCCGTGGCCTAATCTCTCGTTGGTCGGGCTACAACCCAGACCGGGATACTCGAAGAGCTAACAACTCTTCGAGGGAAGGCTACAACCTTGCCTGAATAATCGACGAGCTTCAACTCGTCGACGAAGAGCTCCAACTCTTCTAGGGGGTATAGGTGTGAGCTACGACTCTCGATCGCTAGCTAAAACCAAGAGCACCAACTCTTGGCTGGAAGGCTTCAACCCTCCAATTCCTATTTTCGGAAAGCTTCTACTCTCCGGGGCAACTAAAAGGCTACAACTCTGTATTGTACGACGTGAGCTACTACTCTCGTCGGTCTCGTTGGTCTAGTACCTCGGAGACAGGTGAAGTGACGATCTCCGCAAAATCTAGCTCTTTTATACTGTATGACTCCGCCCACTTTGCTATCCCCCACCACTATTGTAGTGGGTTGCGTGGGGAAGTCGTCATGGCAACAAGATCATCTCAATAACTCTCTCTCTCAGATCTATTACGTTACTTATGACCCTCTCTCTCTACTACATGATTTTAATAGGCTTCGCCGATAATTTAAATTTCGCGCTATTTCTCATGGGTCATGATTTTACTGATTATCGATTCATCAGACCAATTAATTTTCTATAATATCGGCCTTAAAAATGTAACTTCGTTACAAAGTAATAAAACTATACGGAGAAAAAAAATCAACAAAGTTTGTAGAGTAATTTTATTATTTTTTTTACTAGGCTAGCACAGTAAAGTTAGAACAGATCAGATATTATCTATTTATTAAATTTTCGATAAAATAATATTTAATAATTTATACAATGAAAATTTATATCCGAGTACTCGAAAAATATTATTCATGCAAGCAAAATTCATTATGTAATTACTTATTCATTAAAAAATAATGTTATGTACCAGAGTACACAACATTTTTGTTAAAACAAAATAGAATATTAAATTTTAAAAAAGGAAAAGGGACAGTATGCAGAGGAAAGTCAGGTAAAGAAAAATCAATGAGTGAAGTCAGACTTGAAGGCACCAAGGGGCAACTCAAGGACGCTAGGTGGACAGTCAGGTGAAGGAAAAAAGAGAAAGCGGGCGTAAAGGCAGTTCAAGAGGCCCGCACGTGGATAGCCTGACCAAAGGAAATTTGGATATTCAAATTTACCGGATTGGCAGAAAGAACATTAAAGCTACCACCTCCAGCTTTTCAGAGGGGTTAGAACCCTGGATAAATAGTCCAGATTTTCCCAAGGAACTTCAGTCTCTGCTAAATTTTTGTCGGGCTTGGTGCAAAATTTTGAACTGTAGTCTACTTCATATTTCAAACTCAGATTTGATTCTTTTTGAAAGATTTATTCTCAGTAACATTAATAATTTCCTTCAATTTATAATTATTCAAGAAAAACAATTTTTTTAGAATTTTCTTCTTGAAAAAAATAATTCTTCTATTTACTCAAACAAGTATATTTTTTGAAGAACTCAACTCGACCAAAGAAATATTTTTTCTTTAAAGTAATAAAAGAATTTTTCTCAACTCGTCGGGAAAGATTTTGTGAAGAGAAATCTTTGAGAAAATATATATACGTGAGCAAACGAGCGAAGTCGAAGTCTACGAGCAAGAGAGAGAGAGGTGCGGTACGGCGAGGAAACTCAAGCGGCTGTAAATCAACCAACCAGGGAGCCTAGCCGAGTATCTTCAGGCAGCACTACAACCTGCTACGCACCGACCTGCTGAACAGCGCTTCAACTTTCTGCTACCTATCCATTTCACCCTTGTAAAACAATTTCTATTCAACTAAAGTGAGTAAAGGCTAATAAAGATTATCTGTAATAAAAAGGAACAACACTCTTCTTCATTTGTTGCACCATAGTGGTTTGCCAGCACTGATTACCTTACCTATTTCTTTAATTTTCCATCTAAAATAAACTCTGCGAGGTCTCCGCACCCGAGTGGAGTAGAAGGCGATTGTGTCTTGACTCAAAAAGAGACCGTTCTGTTACGGGGACGTAACAAATAAATACAACAAAAATTACAGAGCTAGCACAGGAAAATGTGTAGGTCATAAATAAATAAATTGTGTCCCGAGCAGGTAAAAATCGTTAAGCTAGGTCCTTAAGATTTCCTGAGCTGGTCATACAAAAATTAGAGTGCTGGCACTTTTAAAAATCATGTTCATTTAATAAAAATTATCGAATTTGAATTTAAAAATTATTTATATGTAATTTAAATATCAGTAAATAATAATAGTAATTTTTAAATATTTGTACTTTATATTTATAAAAATTAGTCTGGAAATAATTTAGTTTCAATCTTTTATTAATATTCTTACAATTTCATACAAAATGAAAATAAAACTTAAACATAAATAAGAAATACATCAAACATTAACTTATACATATGTAAGTATATATTTAAAAACTTATAAACATAGTAAATTCATCATTTTAAATCCAACATTTTTTTACGTATTCTATATTATTACCTGCACGTATTTGATGTGTTATATAGGCATTAGATATTTCTACCCATGATAAACACTTGTAAATTTTTTTATATTCAAAAATACGGAAGGCATAATAATGTTCATCAAAATGACATTCTATATGGGCCCGACTTAAAATCTGTAAAAGAAACAATTCTATTATAGTAACAATAATAATTCTAATATAATAACAATTCTAGCGTAACATGTAATTTTATGATAATCTTGAATTGAATTTTATGTAATATATTGTCAAAAAAGAACCTTTAGTTCTAGTAATTGGAACCTTCTTAAATTTATGCACGCAAAAACAGTTGATTATTACATGTGATTAAACGTTTTTTTTTAGTATTTTTACATACATTTGATCTTTTTTAAATTTATTGGAAAATTTTTTGTTAAGACATCAACAACTGGAGCCGAATCACTTTATAAAGAACTTTTTTAGTAAACTACATTACCATATAAGTAGATATTACAGTTCGAACGAAAACCACGTGACCACGAAGTAAAATTAAATTCAATACGAAAAAATCTAAAAACGAAGCTTACAAATAAATTCAAAACAATTTGCGATCATCAATGAATTCTATAAATTTAAATGAATTATTTCTCTTATCGTTAAAAGAGAGTAGATATATTCGATAATAAAGAAAATGTTATGACTATTTTGTTATTAATAAATATACTAACGCATGCGAGAAAGTATCAACTAATAAACGTAGAAGTTATTTTTAATATTAAATGTATTAAAATAAATCAAGAATATTTACAAAAATTTATTTAATAAATATATCTATTGTCTACTCCTGAAATTAACGAATTTGTACCTATAAATAATTTTACATTCTTACATTCGAAGATCGGTTTGAGGTGTCCTAAACCCCATTCGTCTAACATTTGCCATATTTTCACAAGTTGTATTACACAATTACAGTTGATGTTAATTATGCACTTCACTGATGAATGAAACAAATAAATTTCTATAACACTTTTCACAAAACTTGCTTTATAAAAAATATAAAGTGTACCACTCGATGGTTCGATCCGTCTTCGACCACGGCAACTTATAGATAAATTGTTTAAAGTTCTGAATATACAATATATGTGCAAGAAAATAGGAGACTTCGGAAGGGATGCATAAAGCAGAATGAGACATTTAGGAAGGGATAGACAAAAGTAAAAATCCTTAGGATAATCGGGAAAAACCATGGCGACGACCGGGCAAAAAATGATTACCCGCAATAAAACCTTAGTTTAATGACTGTCTGAGGAATATAGGTATGTATATGCTGTGTATAGTAGATTTTTACTAAAATTCCCTCAAATTTACCACTACATAATATGTAGTTATTTAAATAAAAATTCCATATTTTTAATGTAATAAGTAGATTTTTTTGTAGAAATATTAAATATAAGAATATCGGATTTACAAGTGCTACTTTTATGAATTTTAATTTCTAAAAGAGAACTTAATAGGTAAATTAAATTTTAAATTTACCAAGTGATCGACAATCAAGAGATACGGTAGTGTCTCGTGCGCCAAACATAAATTGCCGCCATTTAGCCCTTACGTCACGACGAGGCACTACCGTTGTTGTCTCTATACAAATTATAAGATGATTTTTGCAGGTTATAATTTTTGAATTAAAAATTTTTTTCTTATTATAACATAAACATGGGCTGAAATTAAGAATTTTCTCGGAAAGCGATCGTTGACTTTCGATTAAGAATACTATGCTGAGCTGAGTTTTCATTTTTATATATTTTCAAGCAATTTTCATTTCAATTTTTTTGTAAACTGTACTAACTCAATTCTATCTTAACTTCAGTTTTTTTATTTATAATTAAAAAAAAAACTTGAACAATATCCGTAGATTACATAAATTTGTTAGTAGTTAATACTTAATAGTGATGATGTCCATATACGTACATTAAACTTTGGTAAAAATAACAAAAAAATTAAACAAAATCTACTGAACATTTTTCTCTGTGTACCATTAATTTTTTCATAGAACAACTTAGATTAATGAAACAGGAAAAATCGAGGAAACCTTGATTCCTGAAGATTGAATCAAAATCCTTTGTGAGCATAACAATATGGATCATATGAAAATAGATCTACGTCATTTACGAGGACTTCTCTTCTCAGATCAACTATATTAACATCGTATAAGTATTTTTAATTAATATATTGAATCAAAAGTAAATTTCTGAATTTATAAATTTTTTTTTTTTTAGAAATTCTTACCCATCAATATCAGTCTTTCCACTATTTATTGGTAAATTTTACTTTAAATTAACTAGTAAAACTTGTTATAAAATTTTTCCTATGTAGAGATCAACTAAAAAAGATATCGAAGATTCAGATCAATTTTTTTTTCTCAGAACTGAAATAGAATACTGTTTAGAACGATTATCTAGATCAGCGCTATAAATACAATCGGGAAATTCATTGATTCATTTAAGTGTTGGTTTATCTAACATATGTGCAAAGTTCTTTGAGGATTTAGAAAAATGTTTATTTTAATTTCCACTTTGTGGTTTTGTTCGCAATTTTTCGGATTGAAAGTATGTTTTTTAACATATCAATTTTTTATATAACACAGGCATGATACATGTTACTTATTATGCCTGTAGAGCGGGATCTAAGTAATTTACTAAAATCCCTAGTAAATTAAGTATTCGAAAACGCAATTATGATTAATTTCAGATACAACACCAAATTTTTTCTGAGGTGTTAAAAACAAATAATGACGGATTAAGTAAATTTTTGAAAAATCCTATAAGGTTATGTAATTTTGTTTTTTTACAAAAACTGTACAGGAGATCTTTCCATCATTTCGCTAATGTCATCATTAGCACGAGTCGTACGGATACGATTATTATAATACTCGATCAATCAATATATATTATAAATAAAACTAAAATAAAACCAATCAGCTACATTATAAGTCATTCATTGAACATAAACAAATTTGTTTACTGTCTTAAAATTCTACAATAAACTAATTTTATTGATAGGCTCAACTCGATGTGACACTGTTGGATTTTGTATTCGAATCTTATGATCCGGATTATTTTAAAGATATGGAAATTATCACATGGAATAATGACATCGACATAAATATGACAGTAATTGACTACATGCCACTAGAAGCTGAAGTAAGAGAAAAAAATGTTTGATAATTGCATAGCTTTTATTTAAATGAATTATTTTGAAAATTTCAGCTACGAATACAAATAATTGGTGCAACGATGGGAGAGTATAAAGTACCTACAGGTATCGACTGGAAGTTTTCTTTATGTGAGGGTTTAAATGAGCCAATCATCATGCGAATGATGATGAGTTATCTTGTTCCGCCCATTGACGATTGTCCGCCTGAACTGGTAATACATATAATTGAAAAACATTGAAATCAATTGAATAAAATTTGAAATTATGTATAAATTATTTCAGGGAACTTATAGTGGTTCATATAAATTCGATGATTTTCGAACTTTTCCGGACTCTTTCCCCCCAAATAATTATTTAACGATAACTTCAATTTATACTTCAGAAAAAACATTACTCGAAATGCGCAGTTATGTGTCTACGCGTTGAAAACTATAAAATATAGTGCATGAAGAGAGATAAAATGAAGAAAAAATGTATTTTTTAAACTGAAAATCATGTATATGAAAATTTAATCAATATGTTATTGTATTAAATGTCTAAATATTGTTCGGATAATTAAAAGTATAAGAAAAAAAACTGCAAAGTTTAATATTTTGATTATCTCTATTAGTTCCATTATGGGTATAAACGTTAATCAAATTTTTTATTTAGCATTATGGTTCTTTGTATCTAGATAAAACCAACAGCTGTGCGCAAGAAAATTTTTAAAGATCCTTTTTTTTTTTGCTTAATTAATACGGGAAATGATTCATAAAAATAAAAAATATGTTGGAAAAAAAAGACAGTCAATTATTTCCTTATTTAATCATTGAAAGATTTTTTAACTTATGATGGAGGAAAAAATCCATTAAAATTAATATCCAAGAGGTAGATAACTATTTTTATTATTTGAAATAATTTTATTTTGTTATATTCATTTAACACAATTTTATTTTCTTTTTATTTAATTATCTAGAACATTTTTTTTATTCATAATTCCTAATAAAACCCATTAAAATCGATATGGAACACGGGGGAAATTGTTACTTATTAATTGGCTTAAATATTTTCAAAATTTTATGCTTCTATAAAATCTTTAAAGTCACGCCAAGTTTTTGGTTGTTATGTTTATTATGAAAACAGGAAAATAATTCATTTTAAATATAGTTGATTTTTAGATTTAAATAATTGGTATTTAATGATTTTAGGACTTTTTGTAATTTCATCATTGTCGTTATTTATCCTTGGCGCACATTTTTGTACAGCCCAGAAGGGGGGGGGGCTATTAAGGTAACCCGAGCAGGTCCTGGTTCAAAAAATAACGCACCTCTAAGTACGTTCCTTATAAGGAAAGCCTGATTTAGGGAAACAATAAGGATCTTTCATAAACCAAACCAGGAATTTTATAAATTTTTTAGGATTATTTATGAAACCAATAAGGATCTCACATGGATCAAATGAGAAATTCGATTAATTTTTTGGGATTATTTAAGGATGGTTTAGGTTTGTCTGATAACGAATCTCTTATTAGTGATTTAATAATTATAAAAATTATTAATTATTATTTTTAAAAATTATTGAAATATAATCGACCTTTTGAAAATGAAAAAATTTTATTTTTAAATCTTTTTTTTTCATTAAAAAAATATGACATTAAAATTATTTAAGTAATACTATTGTTAAAATATTAAAGAAAGTTTATAGTGAAGTAGACATTTTTTAATTATAATCAAAAATAAATCATGTAATACTTATTGTCGTCACCTTGATCCTCTTCTTCATCAGTGGACTTTTTATCTGTCTTCTTTTTGTTCATCTTTTTTGTTTTAGATCTTTTTTCTACACCTTTACGTCTTCTCTCTGCACCTTTGCCTTCCCAATCTTTACAATTATAAAGAACAGAAGCTACGCTGTGTATTATCACCTTTTCCTCTATTGGGTTCGGTTCCGATTTTGTAAATTTTTTAATAATTATAGCTGTAATCAAAAAAAAAGTTTTACATTTATTATTCTTCAAGATAACTAATTAATCAATTAGTTATTTTATGTTTTATGAATCACAATTTGAATTTATTAATTGAAATTAATTAAAACCTATTAATTAAAATTTAAAGGTGTTTTAAGTTACCTTTAATTATTTTATAAAAAGACGTGTCAACGAAAATTTTTTTATCATCAGCTGCTGGCTTCAGGTTGAGCTGTAGAGCTACTTCCCGAGACATGAACACTCGCATCATTGTGCTAACATTTTGGACAATGCGTTGGCTGGTGTTAATTTTTATCATAAGTTTTTTTACCTGTAAAATCATGTATTATTTGAAAAAAATGTTTCTTAAACATATGCTTATCTTACCATTTTTTTATTAAAGTCTTCATTGGTTTTCAATTTTTGTTCAAACTCGTCGAATACTTCTATTGTTAAACATGGACAATATTTCAGAATTTCCTCAGTTTCTTCATCAAAAATAGTAATCGGCTCGCTTCGAGCAGCATTTTTAACCTCTGTGATGTTTTTAATTTCGATCAAATAACCTTTTAATATATTTATCTGTTTAGCGTTCGAGTCAACCGTCTTATTTATATTTTGACAATGTTCAATAATAATTTTTTGTTGCTGTTCAACCTGGTTTAATAATTTTTTGATATATTGATTGTCAGAACTTTCTGGAATAAAATTGTACTATTTAGAAATCACATATCATTAATATTTATAAAAATTACTACTTCCATAATGAGAATAGTTACATACCATTTTGAGCATTTATTTTTATTGATGAACTATTTTCTTTTTCCAAATCATTTTTAGTTGAAGTTAAACCAATTTCATCTATATCAAGATTATGATTATCCACACTTTTTCTAATATTTTCATTTCTTTCACTCAAAAAGCTCAATGATTTTTCATTTTTCTTAGAAAATTTTTTTTTATTATTTAAACCAGGACGCCCCTTATAAGTTGACGTTACGCTACTGTCACTTGAGTCATCTGTGGAAGTACATTTTTCGCTTTCATCAGAAGAACGATGTTGCTGGTTTTTTTTTTGAACTTTTTTTGAAGATGATTTAGCTCCTGAAAATATTAATAAACACTTGATATGTATTTCGATACAACTTTATGTAAGACAAGATTTAAAATGAATGATTTATATTTGTAAATTAAGTACTAATAATTAATAATAGACATGCTGGTTCTTACGATTTTCTTTATTATGGCTTCTTGATTTTTGGGAGAGACTTGTTTTTTTTCGTGACGTTCCCGTGAAGGTTTTTTTGTCTTGTCTGACAAAAATTTATTGAATTCTGTTGTAAAAAAATGAACAAACGATCAAGTAATGAACTACCGTGGTTTTAACATAGATTTTAACGATCAATAAAAATATATATATGTATATACACAAATAATAACTTATCGCCGTCAAGATCATCTAAATCAATTTTGCCAGCAAAGTCAATCATATTTGAAGCCATTTTAGGAGATAATTTTTGCATTTTCAAAAAGTCTTCATCTTCCTGAGCTTTTAATTTTGCAGACTCATCGTTGTCTGTTGAATAAGCATACGGCTGATATATGAGTTTATCTGCCAATTTTTCAGCCTCTTCAAATGTATCTCAATTAATTATGTACTATCATTATTACGTATCACATAGAAACTTCCTTAATAAATTATCTATTTGTATATATTATTAATTATTGAAATTGTATCATTGTGAAAGAAATGTTGTGTAAAATAAACAGAAAGTGTTTTTTTTTTATCAAAAAAAATTTTTCATGCAATTAAGAACTTTTTTTCTTCGATAATTCAATTAAAAAATTAAACAGTATTTAAATAAATTAATTAAATCTTTTTACATACCTGCCCTCCCACGAGCCTGAAAATAATATGATGGCCAATTATCCAGAGGATCATCATCATTTTGTACCATTTTTCTTAATTGCTCTGAGTTCTCTTTAGTATAAGGAGGTGGCATAAAAATGCACTTTAATTTTCCAAATCTGCCATCCAAATAAATCCATTTACGAGGCACAATGTCTATGGAAGGTAGCTCGTTTTTTTTTATTGGTAAAAAGACAACTAATCTATACTTTGTGTATAAGTTAACTGATGACATCCTGCTGAATTTCCGTTGTAAATGTTATTATAGAACTTCACAAAATTATTTTAGGTGCCCACTTGTTTTAAACATTCAATATCAACTGAATCACACAATAGTTATGACTGATTTTTTATAAATTCAATTTATAAAAAAGATCTATGAGTAATCGAAAAATTTTACTTTATAAAATCGTTTTATAAAGACATCCACTCATTACAAATGTTCAACATAAACTGATTCACTTGACAATCACTTGAAAAAAGATAAGCCTTTGCTGTATGTTTCTTGAAAATGTTTACATTAGTATCAAATATCAATTTTTCGACAATTCTATTCACAAAATATAAACATCACTAGTATCTATAAACACTCTATAAGTATCAACACTTCTTGGAATATAACTGTTTCGTTTTTCACGTGAATACAGACATAAAATTATTGTCTGGCTGAAGAAAATAATTTGTTCAACATTTTTAATAATAATCAAATTATAGTACTTTCATTACCAAAAGTTAAATAAATTTTTTCATTTACAAAATTATTAATATTCTCGAACAAAATATATACACTATATACAGCATCACTACTACTAGTACAGTCTATCACATGTTGTATAGCCAATGAAACACGAATTTAAGTTCTACTTCGAGTTTATTAAAACTTAATAGTTTGTACAGGTTACAGCTGTTCTGATATAAAATTGTATGATTTAGAAAATAGAAGACAAGTAGACAGGTTGGTGTCTTAGAAAAGAGTGGGTATGTTCCTTAAAATGGGATGTATTTATGGGATGAAATTCAGGATAGAAGGGGTTGTTGTTTGGTGACGTAAGGCTGTTTTTTTTTGGTTAGTGAAACTGTGTCGAATCAGGTAGTTGAGGATTTTGGGAATTTTGGAAAGTGTAGTTTTCTGGGGAAATATTAAAGTGCAGTTTTATGACAGGATATAGAAAAAAGGGGTTTAAAGAATTTAGAAAGCTAGATAAGATATACATAGATAAACTAAGTTATAATATAAGGGCAGGATATATAACACACATATGGAGTAATGGCATGACACAGAGTTTTTCTTTGTCGTTCTCACTTAAATCCATACACACCATTTTTTTTAACATCTTTGAGGTCATATATTTCAAAGTCTCCATTTCTTGCACTTACATTCCACATTTGAAAACTATTTGAACTACAAGGATATGTATAAAGGGCTTTCCTTTTTCTTAATGTTATCCCACACATTTTTATTGAATTTATATTATTCCCGGAAGATTGATACATATTGTGTATTTGGAAAACTTTATTATCAGTTAATAAAACGGCATTGTTTGGAGGTTTAGTGGTCAGCAAAGCTTCTTTATATTCCAAGCGTTTGATAATTGTTCTTCCAGATCTTTCTTTATTCACTTGTAATATTTTTATTTTTATTGGTAATGTTGGCTTTTCACACATGCTAGACTTCATTTTATTGAAACGACGACATAATTGAGCTAATGGATTATTACCGTTTCTCAACAACTTTTTTATTTTTCCTAATAAATTTTCAAATGGATAGCTTGAAATTTTAGATAAAGAATATTGCATGTACTCTACATCATTTGCAATATGGGTAAGATTGTGAATAGTACCAATTAAAACTGACCATGTATATATTGCAGGTGCAATGGTTACAAATGCACTTAAATAAAATTTTGCATATCGTATTTTTTCTAACGCGAGTTCATTTGAACATAATATTCTGCAGGCAGCGTGTAATAATAAAAAATGCTCATAAACTACCCTAGAAAGAATATTTTTAAATACAATAGGACCAGCATATAATAATAAAAACTGTAATTCTGTTGATTTAAATTTACTAAAGTTATCTAATGAACGAGTATTCCGTTGAAATTCCGATGGCACCTTAATCTTCAATAATAATTCACATAACCGTCTCCTGTGTCTGTAGTCTATCTTTAATCCTCTGTTAACACTGCCTTTTAACCAACACTCTAACAATTTTTTCATTACACCTAAATAAAGTAAGTGCATAGAATCTAATACAAATTGATGCACTAAATCAATTTCAGGTTGTATACGAACTAAAGGTGATGTATTTAAGTGATGATAAGGGTTTGTTTGGTTTCTAAAAGATATATTAGTTCTCGCTTCAATCTCACCAATGAGAGGATAAATAGTTCTATTTTCAAATCTCACACCTTTGACTGTGCATCTCTCACATGAATAATATCCTCCATGACCAATCATACATTTAAGTAGTGATCGTGCAGGTCTATCACATATAAATGCTTCAATTGAAACTTTAAATGATCGATTATCTACTGTAATTCTGGACATTTGTAAAATATTTATTTCATTTATAAATTTTTGAAAAAAAAATTCTAGACTCGAAGGTTTCCAGTCTCCACAATAAATAGCTACCGGGAATGGTTTATAACGATCAAGTTTATCATATACCTTACAAAGTATCGGCCATAGTTGTTTTGAACTTGATTTAAATAATGGTAAACCGTCAACATTAATTAATAATTCAATATTATTCGTATCATGTAATTCACAATTTAAACAATTTTCTTGATTTTTTTTAATTCCAAAGTACACGAATTCTTCATTTTTGCTAAAATTTTCAATTTCATATTTACCGCAAGTTGTACCCAGAAAAGTTCTAGCAGTTTTTGGTAAGTCTGGATAGACTCGAATTCTTAAAATATCCATTAATTTTTCTAATCGTACATAAGAAATCGGGGGAGTCAGTAACGTCCATTGACGAATTTTTTCAATTTCATTTAACTGAGCAATATTATTTTCATCAATATCATCCTCAGAAGTTGTGCTAGAAATATTATTTCCATCACTATCACTTTCAGAAAATGTATTATCAGCTAAACTACTTTCCTCTTCATTGTACTCTCCATGATCATTCTCAGAATCTGTGATATCTACACTATTCCTAAATTGTCTATTTGAGTTTTCATTATTTTCTTGTAATTATAAATCAGGTGATACAAATTTATTTATCGCAGGCACCTCATTATATCGCACTTCATACACTCTTTCACTGACAGCGGGTGAGACTACTCGTTCAACATTATGGAGATCACAATTTTCAATTGTTCTATTATTAAGTGATGCTTGATGCTGCTGTTCATGACTTAATTTACGTTGCTCGTCACGAAATTTTTCTGCTCGTAAACGTGCAAGTTCACGTATACGAAAATTCCGTGAATTATTTGTTGACATATTTACTTATTAAATTTATTAATTTAAAAAAAATAAAGAATTGTTAAAATCACAACACACGTTTGCACATTAAAAAACAAACTTGTAAAACACGAAAATATTTATTGCCAATCGCTTGTGTTTATCGAATGAATAAGAACAGTTATATGACTCCTCTAAAACCTATTGATCCCCACTCCGAATCTGCCCTTGCATTCAAAAATTAAAAACAAATTTTATTTTCATCCGCAATACGCTTGTATTTTTCTTTAGGATTTTAATCAGTAAGATAACGTAACACATAAATAGATAGTTTGTATACATATATACAATAAAATATATCTGTAGATGAAGATATACACTCGTGTTTATGTACGTACATGTGTAGATAAATATAAATTGATTCTTGCCAAATAGAAAAGTTAATATTTATTTGATATATACATTAATTAATCAAATAATTTATAAAAAAATAATATAAAATAAAAAATAATTTATAATACTCTATGGATTATATTTTCACATGTAAATAACTGTATGCACAGTTTATTATACGAGTTACATAGTTATGAATAATAAAAAATTTTCACAGCTTTCCTATTTAGATTGTCGTTAGAAAAATTAAAGGCGTTCCTTAATTAAGGCAAATTTATGAAGCTCCTTATTCTGGCCTTATACGAATACAATTTTTAGAATGAGGAATCCCAAACATTGTCCTTGGTTAGGGAAGCCCTGAATTTACCGTATGATATTCTAAATCAAAATTATTCAGTCCTACCCGGTTTCGACTGCTCTTATAAGAATCTTATTAGGTAATAATATGGATTTCCCTATTTTGGAAAACATTATTAAAACTTAATCTGGTCCCGAGTCCTTTTAAGGTAAACCTAACTACCATTGCTAGTCGGGAATGTTTTAATGGAAAATTCCACTACGGTCAAGTAAGATTTTCGTATGTCAATATTTCTAAATAATGCATAAAAAATTATAGATAAAAACAAATAATGAGTGAATGTATTGCGTGAAGAAAGAGTAGATTTATTTTGTCACTTTTTCTTTTTTTTTTTCAAATTTTCTTTCCAAAGTTTTATTTAATATAAATTTTGTTACAAATTTTTTTTCTAGGCATGTTTTTTATTTTCTTTTTCTACATAATAACGTTTCACCATTAACAATCTTTAACCTCTTAGAAATTTATAAGATTTTCCCAGTTATACACATCCTTAAGGATGTGTATAAGGTCAAATAACGTAGTACATCCAATTAATTTTTAAATTTCTCAATATGTAGTAAATTTTAAGCAGAGAGGATCTTCAGTAATTTGTCTTTTCCATTCATTATTTATATTTCTGTCCATTATTGTAAAACAAAAAATATATTATAATTTCGATGAATAGAATTAATTAATTTATAGTTTAAAAAAAGACAAAATAAATTTATTCATCAAATGTTTTCAAAGTGTTAACCAATCATAAATTTACATTATGTAAATGTACAGATCTGAATAAATCTTTTCATCTCCAGTAGAATCCAATAGAGTTGCTCCAGTAGAATCAAAATTCACAGACAATCATACAAAAACATAATATTATTGGTTAAATTATTTATAAAATTACGTTAACCAATTAATATTTAACAGAAATAAATTTTAAAATTTTCAATTTACGACTTTCAATGCACTATCTGATCTGATCTGATTTCTAGATTTAGCAATGTGGTAAAAAATGGCTTACAATGAGCTTTCCAAGTTATTTGATAGATGGCTTCTAGAACTGCTTAGTAGCGACATCATGTAACTATGAGATAAACTTTCGTCATTAGAGTTACGTGACATCTGGAGGAATTAATTTGAACACAGTTGTGGAGGTAAGTTGCGAAATGTTCCGAAGAGAATTTGCATCGATCTATTTTATGTAGTCAAAGAATACTAAGATACTTTAGTATTCTTTGATTTAGTTAACAAATGGATTCAGAGACAATACATAAATCCAATTTTATAATTAAAATATCGATTTTTTTATGACTAATTATTAAAAAATGTCGCAATGCATAATGATGGATGCGATAAAAAATTAAGGTAATTTTTTTTTCAGTATTTTACGTAAGAAATTTTTATTATTCAATATTCACAACAAATAAAACAATTACACTTTTACGTTCTGAAAATCAATAGTGAACTGATTAACGTGGCAATAGAATTAAATGCTTACACATGTAATCTTTATTTACACTGGATATACCTCTATGACGACTTGGCTTAACAGCCAGTACAAGTGTACTAGAGATCGAGAGTGTTACTCTGGCATCCGTAATAACATCACAATGAGTTAATTGTTTGACTCAACTCAACAGTAATTAAATACATTTTTCTAGTGATGATGATGAAGGTTAGTCGAAAATCTTCCAAAAATCATCTTCAAATTTATCTAACAATTATTGGACTACTCTACACGATAATACCTAAAGTTGTTTCTAAAAGTGTGTCAGATCATCTTATCAACGATTCCGAAGTGACTGATAAATATTTTAGAAATAAAAGGGACATTTGGGGAACTTTGTGTTTCAGACATGCAATAAAACATGACACTGAACATGAACCAAAGTTTGTGCTGTTCACTCGACCAGATGTTAATACAACTCAAGATTTATTTGATAATGATACAGAGCTGAATGTGAACTTGACTTTAAATTTACCAACAAAGATTATTGTTCATGGATGGAAGTCAGACATAAGATTGACGCCATTGGTTGACATGAAGAACGAATATCTGTTGAGAGAAGAATGCAATGTGATTTTTGTTGACTGGGAAAAGTTAGCTGCTGAAGAATGTTATTTACATGCTATCTGGCACACTACGTATGTTGGCCAAAGGGTAGCAGAGGTGATAAGGAAACTAAGAGACACTGGAGCTGAAGATATTCATGTGATTGGCTTTAGCTTAGGTGCTCATGTAGCAGGAATTGCTGGCTTTTTATTACGTCCTTATAAAATCCCACGAATTACTGGATTAGATCCAGCAATGCCTGGATTTATATTTGCATCCAACAGCGAGAAATTAGATTCAACAGATGCTGAGTTTGTTGATGTTTATCATACAAATGTTCTTATGCAAGGTAAAATAGAAAGGTCTGGTCATGTTGACTTTTATATGAATGGTGGCGTCACTCAACCTGGATGTCATGAACGCAGTAATTGTGATCATACTAGGTCAGCAGTATACTTTGCTGAATCTATTAACACTGAAGTTGGATTTTGGGGATGGCCTTGTCCAAATCTTTGGGAATTTACGATACATGCCTGTCCTCCAACCACGCGTTTGAGGATTCTGGCTGGAGATAATGTTGATAAAAGTGCTCGAAATTATTATATTGTTAAAACTAATGCTGAAAGTCCCTTTGCTACAAGAGATTTATAATTTATTTTAGCATTTCTGTCGTACATAATAAATTTTAAGAAATGTATTAAAAATACGTTAATTGTTAAAACTTAAGATAAATGCATCACATTCCAGGGCTTCAATTAATTTTTAATTAATTATTATTTATTTAATAAATTAAATAAAATCCAACAATAGAGTAAAGGTTTAAATTGAAAAGTACATTTATTAAATTTAATTATTTAATTAGAATTAAATAGCGATGTCTAATAAAATATTTTGATCAATGTTGCGAATGTTTCCTTACTTCTAATTCCGGGATAATGAAATAGCTACGACTATATATAGGTTTTGTTTATCTTCAAATAAAGTAGACTTATTAAATGTGGTTGCAGTTAATTGATAGAAAGTAAAATACATGTATAGGTTTATTTTCTAAATCGATCTTTCCTGTTTTAATAGAGAAGTTATTTTTAAAAAAATTATAAATAAATGAAAACGTAGATTTCAAAATATTTATTTTAAAAGATCCATTCAATAAACCATGTGTTTATTAACAATAAAATAAATAATTGTTAAAATATTTTTTGTAAATTTGATTTTTTTTGTCATTGTTAAAAACTCAATATTCCAATTGGCTCATATAATATTTATGCATGTTACTTTATATACATTATCTCATATTTTATAATTAATTTCATAATTTATTTTAAATAAATATCATCAAATTATAATCGGATGAATAAAAACAATTATACATCAACAATCAAAATTAGCGCCATAATGTGACTAATACGCTAGCGCTACCTGTGAATAGTTTTTCGTTCCCTAACCAAATTTTGCAACAACAATAATACGCACAACACCGGCTTGATTTGTTTTATCTTTGATTCAACAATTTTACGTTGTGTCATTGTCATTAATTGATTTTCGAAGTTACTATTGATGAGATTAATAATTTCCAAAAATCTGAAATTCATTAGTTTACTTTAGCTTCAAAATAAAAACAAGTATGTCAATGTCATTTGGAGAAGTAGTGTATCCAAGTTCACGAGCATTTTGGACTGAAGAGGATGACGAGAATGATAATCAAAGTACTGAAAATTTAACCAAATTATTTACTGTTGAATGGTCTGAAGATATTCCACAACAAATAAATACTTTGATTGTCATAGAAACATCGTTGATTGTTGGTAAATAAACTTTAATCTTTATTATAGAAATAATGATCATGATAAAAAGAAAAACATTGAATTATTTATATACATATACAGATTTTATGAAAGATTATGTGTCAAAAAATGCTAAAGAAGTCTGCCAAATAAAATCATCATCATCGAAACATCCTTCAAAGTTGTACAAAGCTTCAAATAATTCATTCATTTGTTTAGTCAGTCCCGATGTTGAATTGGCTCAAGCTGGAGATTTTGTTGATACAGTAAGTAATGATAATTTAATAATACTTTCATATTCAAAAGCCAGTTATTTTGATGATGATTGGAATTATTTTCAGGCATCAGAGATCTTGAAAAAGGCAAAAAACATCATAGCAATCACCAGCAGTCACATAACTCAATTAAAAAATATTGAGAACCGAAATATTTCAACATATTTAATCTCATTGTATACTAGAAAAGCTACTAATGATGTTAAAAATTCTATTTCTATGCCCAAACAGCCCAGCATTGTTCCTGGAGTTGGTGCTGGAGGTTAGTATCAACCAGCTATGACACAGCAAAATAATTATGCTAATAAGTAAATGCTTTTAGTTGTTGCTTATGCTGAAGTAATGGATCAATCAGCGTCATTGAATATTTTATACCTGGATGGCTATGAGTTAGATTCAAACAGTGCATCACCTTTAACAAAATTATTTGCTGAGGTAACTAAGCATGAATTACCAGAATTAAAATGTGGGAAACCCTTTATTTTCAATAAAGGAAACTTGTATATGTATTCCAATATTTTTTATTATCAACATCGTCATATAAACATGGCAACTTAATTCGATAAATTCATTTTCACAGCTATTGTTACACTGGCAGTTACATAAGTAGTATAAATTACATGCTAAATTACAGTCTGAAACAGATACCTTCAACGATAGCTTTTTTACCAACTTCGCAAGGTTCTAAAGATGATACACAGCTCTTAGCATTGCTGTCATGTGAGCTCATATGTCCAAGAATCATGGAATTTGTTGAATGAGTCCAAAGCAAGTCTCCTATTGAATCATCTAAGGAATATCTGATAGCTATTGCGCCACCTAGCTTCTGATCTAGACCATGAAGGAATTCTGAGTCTATAAATTTATCCTTCATGGTCTGGTGAAGAGTCGTGACGTGATTTGGTGTCGCTGTAGCAATAGCTTCAGCGATAGTCCGTGCTAATGTTGTTCTAATTAAATGTTCACCACATCCTGAAGTGCTAGCGCCAACAGAACATCGACCATTATGCGCCCAAACTCCACATCCCCAAACTCCTGCCTGTCCAACACGTCCAGGATACTTGAGAATGATACCTCCGCTGGAACAGGCTGATGCTATGTTACCAAAAGCATCCACAGCCACAGCACCAACAGTGTCCATGCGTCTTTTAGGTATTTGAACGACTTCCTTGCCCTCTAGTTTTCTTTTGTAGTGATGGTATATTTTGCGGGCTTTGTTGGAGATTAATTCTTCCGCTGGAAGAGTAGCAACTCCCATTTCGTTGGCCCACACTTGAGCTCCAGAACCAACGAGGATACTTGGTGGTACTCTTCCATAGCTAATTCTGTTTGATTGATGCTCACACAGACGCTTAGCCAATGTCACGGGGTTTTTAATACCACTCACAGCTCCAACTGCGCCGAATAATAATTTTGATCCGTCCATAACACTTGCATCGCACTCCACATCTCCATCTAAGGTTAGATTGGAGCCAAATCCAGCATTAGTCAGAGCTGAATCTTCTAGAACTACAGTAGCTTCGACCACAGCATCTAGGGAACTTCCTCCATTTTTTAATTTTTCTATTCCACTTTTACATGCTTCACGACATAATTTTTGATATTTCTTTTTTAATGAATCTGAATGTTGTCCAGCTCCAACGTGTACGGCAATGAATCCATTATTGTTTGTCATTGATTGTTTTTGTTTATGTTTTGAGCTGATGATCAAGACTACACTAACCAGTTTTCATTAATGTCACATGTTGGAATTAAATATACTAACAATCATAAAAACATTATCGTTTGATTCTGATTTGTTTTTATTAATTTTAATTGACATTTAATTATTCTCCAATTTTTCACTTGAGATTTTGAAAATTTTCATTCAGGATTCAGTAGCCCACGTAAGAAACAATTAATTTCTTTTCCCTTTCAAATTTTTTTTTATTTTTCGGTCGTTTTCGTAGATAGGTGTATTTGTTTGAAGATTGTGCTATAATTTTTCAACAACAGATGTCGTTAAATGTCATTTTTCTAGCGTAAATGAACGATTAAATGATATTTTTTAGTTTTTTATAATAAAATACATAAATAAATGAAGTAAGGAATTAAGTCCATATCATTTTTTTGAATGAATTGAAATTTTTTGAATTATTTTTCAGTTTAAAAAAGCGCGCTGAAAAAATAGATTCAAACTTTACCACTCAGAGCGCTAACGTCGCACCACCAGTTGACGATAAACAATATGGCGGTTACATTTTTCTACGCGGGGTAATGTCGTGTTTTTTGCGTGTAAAAAGTGTTTTTTATGTGAATAAAAGGATTATTAAATCATTAATTTTGTGGTAAGTTATGAAAATATTTTATTTATTACTTAAATCATATATTATAATGTATAACTTATGAATATTCATCGAAAATCGATAGATCGCGTGCGATTTATTTAGATCCGTGATCTAAACTTTAGAACATGCTCATTTCAACATAGCAAAAAGAAAAATGTTTATAATAACGATTATTCGTCTTTATTACAATTATTGTTTTTTTTCTGTCGGTTTACTTTATCTTGAGTAGAGATAAAGACAATAAAACCTCGAATGTAACAGAATATATGTGAGAATATTCTGATATACTTGTAATCTTTTCTCATAAATTTATTATCAAAGTATATTATACTGATATGAATCAAATTTCTGGTTTTTTTCCTTTTACATTCCAACATCCGGTTATAAAATCAAACTTGAATATTAAAGTTAATATGATTCTAACCTCAGATTTCAGTTAATTAGTTTTAATAGGTTTGTGGTGATATTTTATTTAGTTGTATTGGTTAAGCAACAGGTTTTTCGTGTTATGTAAAGAAAAGAAAGGTATATGGCTATTGAGTAGTCTAGTAAATCAATAATCTTTCATGATAATTATAATAAATTATCAAATATTTTACTTTTATTTTTCTTTTTTTAACCTAAGTTTTCATTATTAGGAAACTTAAGCTTTATAAGACAAGACAAAATGCGACCGGTTTCTTTTTGTTGAATCAATCTATTTTTACATTTTATGTTCATTGTTTATTTTATAAATACAATCGTGACGTTTTGAATTATTATTAACGACAAATTGTCTAGCAAATAGGGAAATAGGGATCTGATGTTATTATTTGGGTCAGATTAGAGTTATAATAACGACTTAAAGTTCCTTCTTGCTCAGGTGAAAGGTCATATTAACCTTTCTATGATATTTGGAACCTGTATTTCTTATTATTCTGATCAACAACAAGTCAATACTTTTCGCTACAAACTTTTAATACACTTTGTTGAAAATATTTATGCAACTTTTTTTTTTTGCAATAATTTATTTATATTTCGAAATTAAAATTTGTGTAATGTTTTCTTGAAGACTAGCATTGAATGGAGACTTGAATTTGAAACAGGGCTCCATAAAGCAAAAACATCTGATTAGATTAATCAGTCTAATTAGATATGTTTGGTGCATTTTTTTAGAGAGAAATGCTATTTTATTAAAAACCATAACATAAAAATTCTTGAAAACGTAATCTGTGGACTACAACCAATCTTTTGTTTAAGATATGATAAGGATATAGTTTTAGTTTTAACATTTTGATAAGTATTGAGATAACTTTCAATAAGCAAAGATCAATTCCTTCTTTTGTTACACGGAGAGAAAGGAATAGTAAATTTTACTTCAATAAATAGTAGCCTGTCGCTTTGGATACAAAAATGGCAATAAATAATTGTTTAATTAATGTACATTACAATTTGTTCTTATAAAAATTTTATTACACACAATTTTAATTCATAATAGTAAATTTTTTTGTAATGACACCAAGCTAAACTCTTTTTTTTTATTCTTTGTCTTTCAATATGAGTTTAATTTTTTTTTTTATAAAGTTTTAATAATAAATAAATTCTTGATTATTAAATTCTTTTTTCACTAATTTCTTTTTTGTAAGTACCCTTTTTTTAATGTTAAAATAATTGATTGTTTATGCAATCCAAACATAATTGAATCTATGAACTTTCTCTTTACGGCAATTCGCATCGATGTAAATTATTTTTAATGAAGGTTTTTATAGCCCTTGGCTAACAATAGTACATTGTCAATCAAGGGAATGAAATAGGGCATTTTTACCTGAAGTGTATTATTGCTACCCGAGCCGTAGGTAATAGTGGCAAGCATCCAGGTAAAAGATGTCCTATCGTGTCCGCATGTTCACAATATTCATATTAATCATATTGTCGCAACAAGTCAACTTTTTCCACAATTTTCAGGTTAGTAAATTGACGGCATTTTCTCTAAAAATGAAAACGACTCTAGTCTACATTTTTTTTTTCCGTTGTTTTTTCCCTGAAATTGAGGAAAAAAAGTCAACTTACAGTGGGAATATGAAAAGAAAGAGTAAACAAGATAATTTTTTTCTTATGAAGAATACTGCTTTAATTTTTGGAGTATCCCATTTTACCCCAGCTACGCCATATTACCCTGGTTTTCCTTAATTCTTTAACTTCTTAGTGGGAAATTATTGTAATGGGCCTGATTTTGCAATCGTCATCTTGTATATCTAAAGAACAAATAGATGATACATGTTGAGAAAAATTCATTTTTCATTCAATGTATAATTATGTAACTTGAATCTTATTAAATTTCGAGTAAAATTGGTCAAGCCATTTTTTGCAGAATAACAAAACTAAAAAAAGCAAAACTAGCCAATTTTTTCTAAAGTTGTTTGCATAAAAAAAACCGAACTCGAAATTTATGTAATTATTAATTAAAATTAAACAAAAATTAGTAAGCTTTTAGAAATTTAGAAACAGTTCGAGTTTTTATGAAAAATTTCGAAGCTTTTCAGCAAAATTACGATTGAATGGACACTATGACACATGACACATAAAATTTGCAGGTCGGTATTAGGGGAACAAGTGGTCGGTATTCGAATCTGTGATATTTTGTGGACGAAATTAAAGTCTTAGTCTGATGATGGTTATGGTTTCTTTTATCAAAGCATTAATAAATATAATATTTATAAAATCAACTAACGAATACCGATTATTGTTATGAATAATCGTTTCAGAATATAGACAGCACTGGCAAAATTTAAAAAAGTTTTATGTTTTTACTGTACATGTAAATTAATATAGCTATCCTTAATCGGTCGATAATCGGTACCACTACGTTAATTGTTTAAATTCACATCATTGTTTTCATAACTACTTTTTATAATTTATGAAGTCAATAGAATGTCTTAGTAACCCGAATATGTTTATATGAACGATTTCTTAAGGAGTATTGCCATTGTTATGGTTTCCTAAAATTAATTATATCCTTCCAATAATATTACAGCTTTTAAATGATTTATTTAATGCAGAGAAGAATTTTTAATATATATTTTATAAAAACAGTGACATCTAAATAATTACAATCTAGCATAGTAAATTTTCTTATTTATTGCTATAGAAACATATTTCGTTTTGAAGTTTAATTTTTATTTAGTTAAAAATTGCATCAAAAAAAATCAGTGTATCGATTTAATTTTCTACATTAAAAAAACTATGTGAAGATATTATTTCCGTACCCTATGTATGCATATCAAATTAATCAGCATGATCACCTCTACAACATACTAAATTTTTAAGTAAATCGAAGCTGTGAGGGTTAAACGATGCAATTACAAACTTCGCTAAAAATCGAGCTTGTGCTTTTTCTGTATATACTTTATAACTAAAAAAATGTTAGTCATGTAAGCCTCAAAATTTACACTTAAACCCTTCTTTTCTCATAATTATTCTAACATTGTAATGATAATAAATTGAAAAATCAGATATTGATCTAAAATTTCTGACCTTTTGGAATATTTTGGCAATTTAAGAGAAATTGTTCTTATTTTATTAATATTTATGTAAATATAGACATAATTTCTTTTATATTCTAAAAATCAAGTAAATGTATTATTCATTGCATAAATGAACCCTTTGTAAATTATCTTTTCGTATTCTTCTAAAAAAGTCAAACAAAATTCAAATGAATATTTGCTGATGACTATCTATTTCACTAGAACTCTTAATCGTTAAATATTATTATCACATCATTAAATAATGACATTTCAAAGTTCACAAAAGAATAAAAATGAATAAAAAGTATGTCATGAATATACAACAATAAATATATTTAAAAATTTAAAATACAATATTTCATGGTATGGAATTTACTCAAAAATTAATGAAAGACAGGGGAAAAAAATATCAATAATTGAATTATTAATTGAAAACCATTGGTTCTTTCAGACACTAATGAATTCGATTTAGGGATCGGTTTTAATATCCAACCAATGGTATATTTTTCTATTATTCAAGCCCTTTTCGTTCGATCGACCTCTACACTATATAAATTTATATGATAAGTCTATGTCTCAGTATAACACTTGAATTATTTCTACAACTAGTTTAATAAGTTAGCTATTCTACAATCTACTGTTCATGATAGTAACTATTAAAACAAGTATCACAATTTAATTGTAAATATTTTATTTAATTGATTACGAGAACTTGTCAATGGATACGGTATTTTAAAAAATTTATTTATATATTAAAAAAAAAAAGTTTGGATTGTTATCGTTATAGCACTTGAGTAAGAATGAGACAGAGTCAAGCTGAGGGAGTGGGCACAGCAGATAGTGGCGAATCGGAGATGAAGGAAGACGGGTGCGCAGGCGTCGGGCACGAGGGCATGATGGTGGAATAAGACAAAACAAAGGTGCGGTGAGTGGAACTCGAGAAGAGAAGATAAAGACTCAACACGCAACGGAGGGAGCGAAGCCACGACGGGGAGCGAAAGGACAGTCGAGTTTAGAGAGAGTAGGCTCTGGGAGAGGAGGGACGAGTGGAACGCAGTGGGGCGGAGAGAGCAAAAAGAGTAGAGGGCTGATAGAAGTAGCGAGGGCGAGGACAGTGTGTG